GTATTGTAAGGGTAGGACCTAAGCATGACGTAAATGGTATAGAATAAGGGGTGGATAATGTCCTGGTTTCGGCTGGGATAGAGTTAATTTTCTTCATAGAAGCTAGCATAGTGCTGTGTTTTGGATTCAGTACTAGAAGAATGTTGATAACACACTGATGTTTTTAGTTGTTGCCAAGTAGTGCTCAGACTACTCAAGGACTTTTTGAGCTTCTCCTGCTTGGCCAGGTGCATAACAAGCTGGGAGGGAGCACAGCTAGGACAGCTAACCCAAACTGACCAAAGAGCTATTCCATACCATATAACGTCATGCTCGGCAGGGGGGTGTGTGTGTGTGTGTTAGTCGGTCGGTCAGTTGTGGGGGGATTGATCGCGACTCGGGGAGTGAGCGAGTGGCTGTGTGGTGCTTAGTTGCCAGCTGGGTTAAACCACGACATAAGCAGATTGGCAGTAGGTTTTCAGGCGAGTGTCTTTAAAGTCCCAGTTATAATTTATTTATCTTTCTGGTATGCAAAATCAAATGAGAGTTAAAAGCTTTATGCACAAATAAGTGAAAGGGAGTAAGGCTAAGAATCAGAGAGATTAACAGCATTGCATTTCTTTTTACAGGGAACATCACAATTTTCTTAAACTGTGTTTGAAGCTTCTTTCTAATCATCTTGCACTTGCGCTGGCTGGAGGTGTAGCTACTAGCATTCTTGGCCGTCAAGCTGGTCCTCTTCGAAATCTGTTGTTTAGACTAATGGACTCTTCTGTCCCTGATGAAATTCAAGAAGTAAGTAATGTTTTTTTGTTTACGTGTGAAAATTCTGCTGTTCTCTTTGCTTTCTTTCTTTGACTGTGTAATTAGAGGTTTCTCTGACTTTCTGAACTTGGCGCTCTGATGAACATGATTCTGACTTACCAGTTTTACTCATTAAAGTTAAAATATTGAATCACCATCACTGTTTTGTGATCTGAAAGCAGAGGAGAATGTTTGCATGAGAATTTTAAAAAGCTGCTTCTATTTTGTAACATTTTAATTATTAGTGCGTGTAATAATGAGCCTGAAATGTTGATGATGTGGATTGAGTAACTACCTTACTTGAGTAACTTCTAAGATTGCACTCTTAGAGGAAATAGTGAGTTAGAAAGAACTTTTTATTGTTTTGACAATATGTTGGTCTCATTTCACTCCTTCAGTGTACTGCATATCTTTGCATCACAGAATAAAAGATTAATGTGCTATTGTGTGATCGAATTCTGATGTTAAATGAAATTAAGTGGTTGTTTTGGATATAGTGTGTGGGCCCCCCTCCCCCCACTGAAAAAGTATTTTCTGCTACTCTAATTTTAGGTTGTAATTGAGACTTTGTCAGTAGGAGCAACTATGCTACTTCCTCCATTGCGAGAGAGAATGGAATTGCTACATTCTCTTCTACCCCAAGGTCCTGATAGATGGGAAAGCTTATCAAAAGGACAGGTAAGGTCAAAGAAAAATATGCAGTGCTTTGAAAGCAGTTGTGGTGGGGTTTTGGGGTTTGGTTGTTTTGTTTGTTTTTTTTTTTTGTTTTTTTTTTGTTAGAACACTTTGAACAGTGAGGTGAGCCTCATTTACAGAGTGCAAGTAAATTATTGGTGTGATGCAGTGCAAAGCCCTACTTAACAAAATCTGTAGCCCGGCTAAATCAGAATCTAGTGAGGTAAGGAATACTACATGCTTTCTCAAGTGAATCTTGACTACAGAAAAGTTAGGAATTGCTGTGTTAGAGTATCTAGACAGGTTTAAATGTTAGATATTTTTGAATACTAGCCTGGTTTAACAAGTCTTGGTAACAGAAAATTAACTATTTTCTGGGAAGAATACTTGTGTAATGCTTTTCCTACATGGATTTCACCCTACTTTGCAAAGATAACTGGGATGTTCCTTTTTTTTCTTTTTGTTTCTTGAATGTAAAGAACAGGAAGTAATGCAGGTTAGGAGACTTGTCCAGTATCCTACAAATGGAAGGAAAGAAATTCAAGAAACACATGCTCCTGTCCTTGCGGGCAGGAGGAACTGAATCTTCAGCAGTAGTCTCAGGTTAAAAGATGAGAGAAACTTATTATTCAGTTCTGTATACACAGGATCCTGGTCAAACTTTTTATTTTAGATTTTTTAATATATTTTATTTTAGACCTTTATTTTATTTTATAAACTATGGAATGGACTGGTGTATACTGATACTGGAACTATGAAGAAGAATTCTTCTGATTGTAATTTTCTAAAGATTAGTACCAGTACAAACTAAAACCCCTGAAAATGACTAGGGTAGAGAAAATTTAGGTTTTTCGGGAATCATAACCAGCAACAGTGGGGAACAACACTGAAATTGAAGGTCATTACTCTGCATCTGCCACCTCCCTTGGTCTAATGTATGCTTGCCCTGCTTTTTACCCTTTTCCTCTTTCCTATGTATAGATTAGAATAATTATCTGTTGCTACACACACATCCTCCCCACATACACCCCTGCAAATAATCAGATAACTAGAACAAACAGGAGAAAGCATTTGGTCCAATGTCTAATCTCTCCTAATCTCAGATTTTTACTAGGTATAGTCGTATAATTCAGTATATTTATCTGTTCTCTAATGCTACAAATCTGCAGAAAAAACTGTTTGGATTTATTTGGTAATGTCCTCCAGATTATTTTCATGTCTCATTAGAATATTTTTATTGCGTAACTGTGCCTGATGTGTTTTTCTTCTTAGCTCATTATTTTGTCTTCACTAACAAAGAGTGTTTCTTGTGTCTAAACATTTTCCTTTAGAGAATGCAATTGGATATTATTCTGACAAGCTTGCAGGATCACACCCATGTAGCTTCCCTCCTTGGCTATAGCTCACCATCTGATGCCACAGAAACTGCTTCATTATGTATCAGCTATGGAAATCTCTCTGATCAAACGTATGCTGTTCAGAGTAGTCATCCGGATACTCATCTAGCTGAAATCTTAATGAAGACTCTTCTAAGAAATTTGGGATTTTATACAGTATGTATAGGCCTTGTCTTTATTTATTTTTTAAATGGTAATGAATTTTGAATACTTTGAAGGGTTAAAAGTTTCTCCCCACTTTCAGAAAATGGTGCTGTATTTGTTTATCTAAAGTAGCATTGCCATATGTATTTGTCCTGAAGTGGACTAAAATCAGTTAAATCATCTCTAACATTATGGTTCTATAATGTTATTATAGTGGTATTTATTGTTTAACTTGGCTTATGTAAATGTAGGTGGTTTAATATCAGACTAAAGTATTTTATTGCTCTTGCTTTGGCTTTAAAATTTTTTTGGAAGATAGAATGTAACACATCACGTAAGTAGATTGTATGGAACCCATTTTGTCAGTATAATCTCAGCCACCAGAGAAAGACAGGCAGACGCTAGAATCATGAATCTATTTAATAAAGTTCATTAGGGTAACTGTCTTATCATAGTTCAGCAAGTACAGGTCAGCCATCTTATATGACAGTGTGTCTAAGAGACTGTTGTTCTTAGCTGTGTAACAGTAGAAGCTCTCACCTTTTTATTCAACTAACCAGTTAAATGTAACAGTGAAAAGAAATCAGGGATTTTTACTTCTCTGGCATAGTATCCCTGTCTCCTGAGGGCGAGGATTGGTAGTGTTTTGTTCTTTTTGCTAGCCCTCCACCAGTCATCTAGATTGAGCTATCTGCTTTGAATTTTCTAATTGAAACTAGCTCAGTTTTTTCAATGGAATTCAGAACGAAGTCAAGCAGCTATCTAGCTTCTGCTCCTTTTATTGCCATCCTAGATAATGCAAGGAAAGATTCTAATGTGAAACATTTTATACATCAGCCCACAATAAATTCTAAAGGGCTATTACTTATTTTAACATATTGTGATTTGGGGGTCAGGGTGGGGAGTGAGTTCTTTCACCCAGTTATCCTTTGTGAGTTGAACGAAAAATATTTCTGCATTTGAAAATACCCTTTTAAGAATAGAAATGTTCTCTGGACAGCTATCACAATCACTACTGTGACATTCTAAACAATTGTAGTTTCAAGTTTGGTTATCCTGTGGTCCACTTGACATTATCTGATTTCTCTGATAATCATAGATGCACAATGTAGAAGGAAAAGTCTTATTTTTAAGGTGATATTAAAGTTTGAAAACAGAGTTAATTGTTCTTTTCCCCCCCTTTTTATCTTAATAGGACCAAGCCTTTGGAGAACTGGAAAAAAACAGTGATAAATTTTTACTGGGTACATCATCATCAGAAAACAGCCAACCTGCTCATCTTCATGAGCTTTTATGTTCACTGCAGAAACAGTTGCTGGCTTATTGCCACATCAACAGTGTTAGTGAGGTGTGTGTCCTTATTTTTATCATTTTGGGGGGGAAAATTAATTCAATATGCATGAGCACCAGAATGTTCTAAGATTCCTGTTGAAAATCTTCTGAGTAGGTGAAAGCTAAATTGATTTAAATAATGAACCTCTTAAATACATTTACCGAATTATTCTTAATGTTTGGTTATTTGTTTCCTTCTAGAATTCAAGCAGTGTGGCACTGCTTCACAAACATCTCCAGCTTTTATTGCCTCATGCTACAGATATCTATTCCCGTTCTGCAACACTGCTTAAGGAAAGCTCTTGGAATGGTAGTGTTGGGGAAAAACTGAGAGGTAAATGTTCATTGAAAAATCAGTAATGGTGGTACTGTAAGCTTAAGGCAGTTCTTGTTTGTTTAGATTTGAATAATAAAATATCTTATTTTCCCTATATCTGCATAAAGTAGACATCCCAAGCCTCCCTCAAAGGAGGAGATTAAGTATCTACCCAAGGATAGCATCTGGTTCATGTTTTTGATACAACATGTTGCATATGGGAAAATACAGAATAGAAAGGTTATTGTCTCAGTGCATTATTGTTTCAGTTTCTTTAGTTCTAGATTTCTCATCTTAAAAGTACGTTTTTTTTGAGATTACTGAAAAGCGCAGAAGTAAAATATGGAATGGATTAATACTTATTAAACAACCCCCCCAATTCAACATGTAGAATTGATACATTTTGAGACAGCTGAAATATTTTTATGCAGTTCTTTCTGACTTGTTAAATTGTGCTTGGAATATAATTATTTTCTGAATTATAATTGCACTTTTTTTCTTTTTCTCTATAGATGTAATTTATGTATCGGCTGCTGGTAGTATGCTCTCTCAGATTGTCAACTCATTATTGTTACTGCCAGTATCAGTAGCTCGGCCTTTGTTAAGTTACCTGCTAGATCTGTTGCCACCTTTAGATCGTCTTAATAGACTGTTACCTGCTGCAGCCCTTTTAGAAGATCAAGAATTGCAGTGGCCACTTCATGGTAAGTGTAATAACTAACACACTTTTACTCTGAAAAATAAAGAATGGCATGTCACCTTTTTATAGTGGAAGTTTAACTTTCCCTTGAAAGATGGCTTTTTTTTTTTTAAGCTAAGTGTCTTGCTACATCTCCTTTTCAAATTCTTAAATGTATTAACATCTGCTGATGTGAAATATTTTGAGCTGCAGGCAAACTTCTGTATTCTGTCAACTGAGACTTGAGTGGGAATCCAAGAGCAATATGGGAAATATATATTGAACTGAAAATACTAAGTTTGTAATACAAGCAAATACCATTCTTGTAAAAGAAACACTGTTTTTAGAATCATAGAATATCTCAGGTTGGAAGGAACTCGTAAGGATCATTGAGTCCAACTCCCTGCTCCTTGCATGACTGCCTAAAACTAAACTTTTTGACTGAGAGCATTGCCCAGACGCTCCTTGAACTCTGAGAGGCTTGGTGCTGTGACCGCTTTCCAGGGGAGCCTGTTCCAGTGACCGACTGCCCTCTCAGTGAAGAACCTTTCACTAATGTCCAAACTGAGCTTCCCCGATGCAGCTAATAGATAATTTTTTCATGATCCATTTACTTTCATTTCCAAATTTTACTTTTGCTTTCTATTTCATGGTGTAAGAGAATTTGAACTTAAAATCATTAATTACCTTCTAAATTCCTGAACATGTGCCAATGTAATAATATTTCTGGTGCCAATGTAATAAAAATATAAAACCAGAGGTAAAGTGACCAAAATTTGTGATGGGAGTTGCTATACTTATTTGCCATTCAATGAATTTTTCTTTAATATTTTTGGCAAGGTGCTGTTTCCAGTTGTATCATTTATCTATGCATGTTTATAAGAATGCAAAGAAATATGTATTGGACAAAATAGGTGCTTGGGGAGCAGAGTTTAAAAGAGCCTTTACTTCACTGAGTATGAACAGTTGTACTGTGGATGGTGATGGCCTCTGCTGCTGCTGAAGTTACAATGTTATGCAATCTATTTGTCCTGACTGCAGTTTACAGATTGTTGACTGAGGGGCAAATCTGCTATTAACTTGGAAATATTAACAAGATCTGCCATTAATTTCACTAATTTTGGAATTGTTTTTAACATCTGGGCAACAGTGACTAATTTGACAATTCATGGCTAATACTTTTAGGTGGACCTGAATTAATTGATCCTGCTGGAGTACCCTTACCACAGCCTGCCCAGTCTTGGGTGTGGCTTGTTGATCTAGAGAGAACTGTAGCTTTGCTTATTGGGCGGTGTCTTGGTGGCATGCTTCAAGGACCTCCAGTGTCCCCCGAGGAACAAGACACAGCCTACTGGTTGAAAACTCCACTTTTCAGTGATGGAGTGGAAATGGATATTCCTCATTTAGGTAAGCTGTTAAATGGAAGCGTCTAATTGTAATTGAAAATATGTGTTCGGTTTTGAAATTTCTGATGATGTTTGAATAAGTCTATGTACTTAGGGTTTGTCTTTCAGCATTCTTGTTTATTTATGTAGTAATACAAATAGTTGGAAAATGGATATTTAATTATATGCTGTAGTTTACAAAGGGTCTTGTAAATGCATACAGAAGAAAAACCTCCGCAGTTTCTCAGTGAAAGAAGTAACACTGACTTCACTGAGATAATTTTAAATGTTTTACTCTTAGATGCTCAGCATTTAACAAGACACACCAGGATCTCTTTTGTTCATATTTATTATTGAAAAAGATTATCTTAAATTGTATTCTACTTACAAAGTTGAATTTTTATTAATTAGAAATAATACTGTCAACAACAAACTTCAATCCTTCTGATCTACCAGAAGTGTTCACAGGACTTAGCATTAGTATTTCTAGTCATCCCTTCCTATCTGAATAATGTACTTGCTTCTGCTTCTCTGTGGCCTGTTCCCCTTAGTTCGCATCTCCTTCTTCCTCTGAATCTGAGCAGGCTACTTCAAGACCTATGGGTCTGTGACTGAAGATAAAGTAATTGCAAGCTATGGCTGTATAGTTCAGGTAGAATTAATGATACAGAATTATGCTATTGAAGTACAGTAGGATAATGCTTCTAAATCTTCATACATTTTATGTAAATTGTAACACTAAGTCACTTTATTCCTTATCTAATGTGAGTTTGTAGTTGAACAATGAGATGTCTTGATTTTTTTTTTTAAACAAAGCAGACAGTGAAAGCTGTTTCATACGCTTTTCTATAGATGCATGTAATCCTCAAAATTTGCAGTTTAACTTCTTAAGTATTTCCCTTCTGTTAGACAAATGCATGAGCTCCTTATTAGAAGTGGCCCTATCTGGAAATGAGGAACAGAAGCCATTTGATTATAAGCTGAGACCTGAGATTTCTGTCTATGTTGATTTGGCCTTGGGTTGTACAAAAGAGCCAGCAAGGAGCCTCTGGATCAGTATGCAAGACTATGCTATTAGTAAAGGTAAGATGCTGAAAAAGCATATACATGTATGTGTGTGTGTGTCAGAAGTGTATTGCATGCTTCAACTGCATGCCTAGCAGAATCCGATGTTTTCTTTGGCAATGCCTTTTAATTCTGTGACATGATAAAATTAACTTGTTGTCATGTTCCACGGTATTTCTTCTGCTTTTTCTGTTACTTATTTTTGACATGGATTCCAGTGTTTGGCAAACGTGAAGTTCAGTGTTCTTTTTCCCTCCAAACTGGAAAAAAGAGGCTCTTGTTTGCTTACTCAGTTGTTGGTGTTTCTGTTTTCCTAGTAGAGCAGGGTGAAACTTGGAATTAAAAAGAAAAATTGATGGGGAGGAGATCAGGGAAGGCAAACTAACTTGCAAAATATGTTAGGAATGGGACAAAGGGGTAAGTCATTTGTTTTTCAAGTCTGTGGGAGGCTCGCCTTACAGTATTAATGGTTCTTAAAAAATGGGCATTGTGGTTGTATTGTAACTCTCTACTGGATCCAAAGATAATTTTCTGTAGCTCTGGCCAAGCTAGGCCAGATCAAGAAGACAGCAAATGGTACTATGTGCCTGTTGAGAGCAACACAAATAATTCTATTTGAAGAATTCCACAGAAGTAGGAATTCCAGTAAAAAATGCTGGTTGTCTGTTTGCAAAATCTGAGATGAATGGGCTAATATGTATTATTTTGATTATGGAATTGGGTGTCATAGAAGTTGATGTGGTTCTGCTCTGTTCCCAATGCAACCTGGCTGAAAGTTGTTTGGTGACAGTTAGCATAGCATCAAATGCAAGGTAATGGAACTTGCTGAGGAAGCAGGTATGTTAGACTAAACTTTATGTGGCCAGGTAAGTTTTTGCGATTTCTACAGCAGTTAGCAAGGATTCATAGATAATATTTTATTGAAAATATATTACAAAGGTATTAGTAACAAAGTGGGACAGTAGTATTTTTTTCCCATGAAAAATTACAGTTCCTTGTGGAATTTTGCTTGGCAAATCGGTTATTTTATGGTAGAATAATACTGTTTTCTAATGGGTCTTTTTAAAAAGGGGAAAAATTATTTTTAAATTAAAAAGTCAGTTCCTGAAAATACTGGACAAACCTGAGACCTGTAAATGTCTCTTGTTAATACTAGCAGTGAAGCTTGTGCTTAAGCTTGTGTTTGTGTTAATAATTGGCTTTCCTGCTGGAGATGAGGCTTTTTTGTTATAATTATAATTATTGAAATTATTCTTGAATGTGGTTTGAACTATGTGTAAAAGAGTAGAAAGTCTCAAATGTGGTGTGTTTCTAAACCAGTTCCATGTAAATCAGTGGCTCGGTAAAGAGAGAGCTCCAGCTCAGTATCCTTGCTTGAGGGAGAGGTTGCCCCCGAAGTTCAGCTTTTTGAGTCTCTCGTGGCAGTTTGTGTGCACGCCCGTGGCTCACCGTTAGACTTAAATACCTTGAGCAGACCATGAAGCAGCGTATTTATGAGTTATTGATGCTAAGCTTATTTCTTAAGTAGTTTTAAAACTACTTATAAACTGACAGATTTAAATGGATGAAGAATTTTTTTTTATGATGTCATTGAAAATATATTTGTTTGTTGGAAACAGTAGCCAATTTTGATGAATCCTTTTTATTTTCAGATTGGGATACTGCAACTTTAAGTAATGAATCACTCCTAGATACTGTGTCCAGATTTGTTCTTGCAGCTCTTCTGAAACATACAAGTTTACTTAGTCAAGCTTGCGGTGAGAGCAGGTAAGTAACTTAAAGCTGCTTTTAAAAGTTCAACTTCAATTTTTAAAAGAAAGTTTGTATGATTTTTTTTTTCTGTTTTGGGTCTCTTTTCTAGGTACCAGCCTGGCAAAGCCTTGGCAGAAGTTTACCGTTGTGTATATAAAGTTCGGAGTCGCTTGCTTGCCTGCAAGAACATGGAACTTATTCAGACTAGATCATCCTCAAGAGACAGATGGGTAAGACTGTAAATCTCTTTTCAGTTCTTCAGGCTTCAGTGTGGATTAAGAAAATATTACATGTTAGTTGTCGGTATTTTTGTTCCACCTTGTTGAAAAACTCAGGTGTCTTCAAATTAAAATGGGCAATGTATAATTAGGAGTCCATTAATCTGTAGTACATGTGGTATCAAATCAATTGAAGCAAATGACTGATAGACAGTATTTGATTCAAGCACAGACTGAAGCCTAGTTTTACATGAAAAAAACTCCACTAATATGCTGTACCATAGAAGCCTACAACTTAGATGTAGATTGCTTAGGTAGGTTGACGAGGCCACAGCTTAGTCTGGCTGCCATTCCTGAACCCAACCCAACCCAACCTGGGCCTCTGATCTCTGTTCCTTTCTTCCCGTTCCCTCCCTTACTCAACCCTTTTTCCTTCTTCCCCAGCCAGATTCTCTTCTTAGTCCTAACATTACTTTACGGCTACTTGTCCTTGTCAGCCTTACATGAATGTTAGACATAATAGGACTGGGCCTGAAACTAGTATGATGGCAACTTCTGAATTATTTTACTAAGCAAGATCAGAATTGATGATGGGCATGTTCATTGAATTGCTCAGCTTTGGGGACTGTTAAGCATTACAAGGTAGTCCTTAAAGTGGGATTAGGGTTTCTCTGGTAGGATTTTTAATTGCTGTTTACAATCTACAAGTGGGGTATTTTTAATCAAGGAAATTCTCATGTGACATCAGGACTATAAGGCTTTTTAGCTATATTGTAAGCCACTAGCGATGCTTTTTAAAATCGTGTAGGTCTCTTTTCTCCCTTTAATTAATATTAAGGGGACATGCATCTTTGGCCCTTCCGTTCTCATGGTCTAACATATCTGCAAGAGATTCTGCACTTCTGAAAACGCTGGGTGTAGTGTGTGTACACAGGAAAGTATGTATACGTTAAGCTTAGTGGTTCTCTGGCTTACCAAGCATACGCAGGGTGGCCATTTTCTGAACACATAGTAAATATGTTGCTTCGTGTTCATGTTATAGCTGTTGCGTATACTCATGGTCAAGTACTCTGTACTGCGTGTGTGCAGTAAGTTCCATTACTCCTGGATATTCTCAAGGTTATCGCGCAGATGCAATGCATCAAATACAAATATATGCAGTAGATTTGTTGCTTCAGGGAAACCTCAGATGTAATACTATTGGGGAAAAAAGAGCTGGTTTGCATTTGCATAGTAAACACATGCTTAATGATAGAATGACAAGAGCAAGAAAGAGGTGCCAGAAAAATGGTGCTACCAACACCTTCTTTTTTTTTGGAAAGGAAAACTGCCAGGAGAGGGCAGATATGCTGGTGGGATGTGTATGTCCCAAGATTTGTAGAATTAATTACCCTCTAAAGTATTCTAAAACCTCTGATGTAACCATATGTTTTATGTTTAAAGCTTTGCCTTCTTCAGATTGTCTAAAGCTGTTTCCTGAATTGGAAAATTGTCTTTTAGGTAGTAAGTATTTTGCTGGTCAGCACTTATATTCTCAAATTGAAGGAAAACATTAGCCCAAATATATCCAATCAATCTAAAAGTTTTTTTAAATTCAAATTCGAAGACTGTTATTCTTCGTGTGCACCTTATATGCTAATCTTTGATCTTGGGGTGTGCATCTGTTTTATTTCATTGAAATAAAAGGGAGGAAAAGAACTGCAAATTCAGGACTGTTAAGAATGAAAATGGGAGCATGTTGGGTATCACATTAAGTAACAATCTTGTCCATCAAAGTTTTATCATGTTCATGTCCTTTTTAAAGGGAGAAAATTTTGTGAGATAACTTCATGTGGTTGCTAAAGGCTTTGATGCTAAAGTGCCAAAGTTTGTCAATAAAGTCTAAGTAAGCATTACAAGGAGACATTTTTCTGCAAATAATGAGTAACAATTATTAAAGGAAAATTAAATTTTCTAACTTACATATTTAAAGCCTTGAATGTTAACAGTTGTCTGTTGGTTTTTTTGCGCAATATCAGAAGTATCTTTCTGATAGGAAAAAAAAAGGTATTAAGTACCTATGTCCTTTTATGTTCATCTTTCATTTTGGTCAGAATTAATTTGACTGTATATATATATATTTTTTTTTTTTTTTAATCAAGATGTTAGATAACCAAGAATCTGCTGATGTTGACACTCAAGAACATTCTTTCACTCGTACAATTGATGAAGAAGCAGAAATGGAGGAGCAGGCAGAACGCGACAGAGAAGAAGGACACCCAGAACAAGAAGATGAAGAGGAGGAAAGAGAACATGAAGTTATGACAGCTGGTAGTAAGTACTAGTTATGTGTGTCAACAATGCAGTGTGCTTTGAAAGGACAATCTATTTTTCTCTCTGAGGTAAAATGGAGAAATTATTTTAAAAATTTAAAAAAGATTTGTCTGCATAAACATTGTGAGAAGTTTATTTTTATAAAATGGTGTAGTACTTTTATTGGGTTAGAAAAGTCTTTTGATAAAAGTGAATGTGAATACTGGGCAAGCAGACTGTCTATGGGCAATTCTCAGGGCATCTGACATATACCAACACTTCTTAGATGCACTATCTACAAGACTAATAGGTTTCATATTGTTTTCTCTAAACTTCTATTCAATAGATCTCTGAGTTTTCATCAGTTTATATATAGAATTTTCGCTGTGTCTGTATGTGTTGTTCTTGTATGTAATAAGCTTTGAAGGGTAATGTTATCCTGAAGTTTGGAAACAAAACTGCTGTTGGTAACAGTCATCTGACTGAGTTGAAATTCACTTGCACCTTTGAGTATCTCTTCTTAAATTGATTAAAAACATGAAGGTTTTGGTCTAAGTTCGGTATTTGTAACACTGTTTGCAATACTTTCTCACGGGTTTTCTAAAAAACTTGTTTAATTCTTTAGAAGATAGCTTGAAAAAGATGAACTTCAGAGACTGTTGTTATGCTGATTGGTCAGGCTCAATGGGGTAGTTAATCCTTAATTTTTCCAATTTTAGTGAAGCAACATACAGTCCCACTCAGTTGTTTTTTCTGTCATTGCCCTAGTGTTCTCAAAGACATCATGTTAGCCTTAAAAAATTACTGTAGAATGCATGTAGCTTAAAAAATAAAATTGGCTGACTTGAAATATTTTCCATAGATATAAAATGTTTTTCTTTCTTTTCCAAGTACTGTTCTTCTGGATACTGTTAGAATGTTTATCGTTTTCCAGTCTCTGCTGTCATCACCTATTTTGCTGACAGTGTTTATATTCCCCATTAGGACTCCCATATTCCTGTTTGGGATCTTCTAGACCTAAATGTATGTTACACCTTTAGTTTCTATACGATGTCATTACATTCACAATGCAGTAGGCTTTACTGAAAGTGTGCAATGGAGTTGAAGTTCACATTCATGAGATGATTTATGGTTCTAGAAGGTGTACACTCGTGTAACCTGTTCAGCTGATGCAATATGCTTTTGCTCCTTGATACGCAGTTATCCTGGGCAAATGCTTAGTGTTCCCAAATTCTACCTGGACAGTGTTTCCAGGTACAGTAAAGGAAATGTATCCAGAAATATACAGACAGACAGTAGTGTTACATGCACAAATAAGTAGGAAGAAGATGACTCTCTTACTGGAGATCCTAAGGAAAACTGATCCTGACATGCAGAGTTCAGTTTGTGTCCTTGATGCCTTGCTGCTTCTAACTGTTAATATCAATGTAGGAAGTGTTTGGATTTACCTTTCCCTTTCCAAAGAGGAACTGAATTTTTAAAATTAAAATTCTTAAGTCGAGAGAGCTTTAGGTCTTCGGATAGAGATGATGTGGTCTCTCACACAGCTACTTTAGAAGAATCTGACACCTAAGACAATAGCAGAATTAAGCAAAGCAAAGGCTAAGAATTTTGATAGGATTTTCATTGTACTGACCAAAGCTAATAAAAGCATGAAACTCTTTTGGTATTGAATTATGTATATGCTAGTGTCTGGAGTACGGATTTACAGAAGCATTATTTTATATATGTCTATTAAAAGGCAAGCATGAAATAATCTCTTTCTCTTTGACGCTATCCAAACAGGAGTAAGGTTGCAGTAAGACACTGCAAGAGTGCTTAGTATTCTGTCAAATTACATTTGTCATCTTCGTTTTAAACTTAACATTGTGTAAATGCTATGTTTAACGTGTTTGCATGACTTCTTTTATAGCTTTATATTATTAATATATTCTTTTACTGGAAAAATATTCGTTGTTCTTTGTAGTGGGGCAGTTTTTGGCCTAAGATATAGATGAGTATTTCATTCTATGTAGCTTTGTCTAGAAGTTAAGACCTTCTTTTTGTGTTGCGTGTTACAGAAATATTTCAATGTTTCCTATCAGCCCGTGAAGTAGCTCGCAGTCGGGATCGAGATAGGATGAACACTGGGACAGGGACTAGACTTGATGATGCAAGAAGGTCAAGATGTGTATACTGCTGCGTGCAACTCTGTGATCCACAGATGTGCCTTGTTGATCTTAGGAGTAAGCCCTGTTATCGAGGAGCTCCAAAAACGAAGGGAGGATGGACAGTTACAGCAGCCTCCCTCTACTACTACTGAGGGAATCGGACTCATGACAAGGTGGGGTTTGCTGACTGCTTAGAATCACAGAATCACAGAACGGCAAGGGTTGGAACGGACCTCTGGAGATCATCTAGTCTAACCCGCCTGCAGGTTCACCTAGTGCAGGTTGCACAGAATAGTTAACTCTTCTCTGCTTCCTTTATAAATGATTAAATAACCTCAGTTTTTCTCTGAAGATTCTTAGAATTTTTTAAAAGATTTTTTTGCCTAGAGCCAATGTTATGTTTTTGTTGAGAATATTGATTTTTCTAAATTTTTTGTCCACGTTAACTAAACCTTAGTAAGAGTTTTATTCAGTGTGGACCATATTTATTTTTCAAAGTTGGGTTTAGTGATAAATAGTAATAAAGTCCAGATCATCAAGTGTACAGATAATCTGAGGTAATTGGAAAAATTATTTATTTTTCCTAAGATTTGTTTATGTGTTTGGATTTTTTATTACCACATTTGTATTTTCTTGAACTTTACTGATGTCCTATATAGCAGCATCCAAAAATATATATGATACGTACAAAAGCAAAAGTTTCGAAGCCTACTATGAAAAAAGTGTCGTTCATGATTGATTTTTATAAATATTCCTAATTTATTAGCGTGTGTTAGGTATAATGTTGTTAGGTATAATAAAATAAATCCAGACAGCACACTGAATTGGAAAAGTGTATAATTTAAATGTGATAAGTACTACGTAATGCATTTTAGTTTTCATAACCTGAGATATTCTTGGTAACACAGTTTTATTCTAAACTTGACCCATTTAAACTTTTATTGTAGAGATCTTTGTGTGTGGGTATTGGAATATAACACAGGAATTGTGTAGCTGGTGCTACTAATGAACTCCTGAGTCTACTTAAGCTTCTAGGGTACAGAAAATCTGCTCTGACATTTTAAATTAAGATATTGACGGGGAGTTCAGAAGCAGATTATGTATATTCAGTACCCTTTTATTCTTTTTGCCTCTTTTTGGAAATATAGTCCCTAAAGCATGGGTAGCTGCCTCTGTCGTTGTCAAAGTGGCTTTCATCTCCAGCATATCAAATTTAGGATGCATTTTATGTGTGGGTTTTTAATAAGTTCAGTGCCTTTCCACCCACTTGCTCTGTCTCTGTTTTCTTGTCCTCTCAGCTCACAAGTGGTTTTGTATCCTGTATGTAATACTTACCAAGGCACTTGAATCATCAGTCATTTGAGGTTGCCATTTGTTCAGTTGACTAATAAGGGTGTTAAGAAGTAACAAGTTTTACTAATACCCTTTATAAACATAATAATCGAAGCCATCAGACCACTTTTTTCCTCTTTGGTGTGGTCTTGTGATGTTCTGTGATAGTCTGCTCCCAAATAAAACTGTGGTACCTGCTAAATTTGACTATCAAATCTTACTTTTGCCTAATATCAGTATTTTCTTTCTCTGTGTGTGTGTGCACGCATGCATGTGTGTCCACCTGAAGCAGGAGTGAAAGTCTTACTGCAGAAAGTCGCTCAATCCACGCCAACTCAAGCTACAGACTGATTAAGTCAAGAAGTGAATCTGATTTATCTCAGCCAGAATCAGATGAGGAAGGTTATTCACTGGTAAGTAAGCTAGCATTGTGTATTTAGAGATTGTCAAAATATTTAGATGGGAAGTACATCTTAAAGGTTTGTTTAGTACTGTGTTTCGGTATAGAGATCTCTTCTAATAACCACCATTGTTAAGGGAAAGTAATGGTGGTTAAAAAAACCAATTGAAATTATTATAGCTCTTAATTTTCTCACTTTTAAGGGTGAGGGATACATTTTAAATACTGAAATATTAGGCACCATGTATGTTCACCTAAAGAAATGAGGCTTTTATTAATCTTTTAATCTAGAGTGGAAGACGAAATGTTGATTTGGATTTGGCATCATCACACAGAAAGAGGGGTAAGTTTTATTGTTTACCTAGTGAATATTGACCTGATAAATATGTTAGTATTTCTCAAGTTAAAATATGTTCGCAGTTAAATACAGTACATAATGGCAAATAGGATGTTAAAACTGAGTATTTAAAAATTACATTTGAAGTAATTATTACCTGCTGTTGTGCTAAATTCTGTGGCTTTGTGGCTTGGTTGTAGTATTTCCTAGGTTATAACTATTTAGTTTCTAGAATTGCGATGAACTTTTGAAGCAAGTGAGGATTTCTGTGAGGTCAAGTGAATTAAGGATTTTCATTCTGTTTCCACTTGCCTGACTTGAGGAAGAAAAAATTGGCAGAGAAGTTCAGTTTCAAGTTGAACACTCTATTCTTGTGCTAACAATGAACTTCTACGATAAAATGTGCTTGAATGTGGAGAACTCATATCCAGAAAATAACGCTTAAATTTTTGCATCCTCTCTAAACCAGCACACCTACAGAACCAAGCAACTGCTGCTTCTGTTACTCCAATATCAATCAGATATTTAGCTTTTGTAATGCTTTTTGTTGCTGCTTCATTCTGGGAAATCTCAATGAGCTTCTTCACAGAAGGTAGCAAAGAGAGCAAAGGATGTTTGTTTACACAGAAACCAAAAAGTCCAGCCATTCTGGATGATGCAAAGTCTTTGCTAGAATCACGACTTAGGTCTGTTGTATCTGTAAAAATCTTGGGAAGAGGTTAACAGGAATTAGCTTGGGTTATGATATGCTTTAATTACAGAGACCTTAATACTGTTAGATAATGTAAGAGTTCTAGTTAAATAGCCTTCATCATTAAGCAGAGTACTGAGAGGTTGCTTGCTTTTAAAATTCTTTTGAGATTGTAAAGCAAACTATCAATGGCAAAACTCATCACGCTTCAATTTGTAAATAATGTAGAAAGGAATTCCTTGTGCATCGATAGTCAATTGAACCAGTTGAGCAAGTAAAGAAATATACTAGAGAGAATTTACTGTTCATACTGTGGCAGCAGCATGTATGTTGGCATTCTCTGTGTTAGAAGATCTGATAGCCTCCGCCGACACTGATTTGCAGTGTATTCTTTGAAGCCGCCATTCTTAGCTTTGCCATTAATCTGACACAGAACTCTGCACTCACTTCCCTCTGTATCCAAAAAGTAATCCAGGAAATCATGTTGGGTTAGATCTGAGATACAACATATCTAACGGATTATGGTTCCTGAACTGTTGGTTAGACTGATGAGGTTGTTTTGGTCACGGACTCCAGGAAATAAGGAATAATGCAAGAATAAACTTTATCAACAAACCAGTCTATAGAAGCTTTTTATTACAGAAGAAGGTTCTATCCCAGGTGTGTAACACTGAGGAGAAACAGGGGTAAATGCAGCTGATGTATCCAGAACCTGAAGAAGCTCAATAGCTCGTCTGCAAACCAAAACACTGTGACAGCAGGTACTAATCCCTGTTTTCTGGTATGGAAGGACTTACTTTGCTGTCCCATGATATTTACAGATTTTTTTTGTCTGGTTTTAGCAACTGGAAGTTAGTCAGCATACAGTAACGAAAACTTTTCTACTTGTGTTGGATGATCTTTATGACAGTTTTGGTTGATACCCAATACCAGACTCATCCAGTGAATGCAGGGTGCTTTTACAGGGAAACATTCCTGATACTTACACCAAGGTGAGGAAGAGATCTACAAAGACCTTGTGTGATCAAGTGGACGAGCTGTTCAGCTCAGTGCTATTTGAGGTCTTTCATTTCTTATGTCTGGTTTTGTGACTTCTAGTTATCTTCTAGAACTGAAGCATGCCCTAGTGTTTGGTAAAGATGTAACTTGCAGCTGTTTTGAATTGTCCACCCCTTGTAACATAGCCAGCACACTGAAGTACTAGGATACTGCAGTGTCTATCAAGGATATTTTGAATGGTAAACCCCCTTTGGTTTCATCTTTATTCTTGTGATATGCCATGACTAATAAAGTGGACATTTATGTTTGCTGTTACTCAGCTTGAAGAATTAAATTCATATAGCAGATTCACATGATCCTGTGCTCCATCCTGAGTTACTGGCAAAAGAAATTAAGGGGTTCCATCAGAATGAGCTATCTGCATTTGAATTTGCCTCATTTCTTAAGAATTGAAGCATTAGAAAAGGTCTGGTTTCCTGTTCATGGCAAGTAAACTGCTGTAGAAGAGATGACTTACGGAAGACTACAGCACTGTTCCTCAAGATGTTCTCCAGCTGGCTTTTTAAGTGCCACCAAAATCATATTCCCCTGAAGCAACCATTACACATTTTAGTGAGAAACAAGCGGCATATTTTTTTTAGGGTTTTTTTTTTTTTGAGATGTTCTTTCCATATTCATGTATGTACTATGTGTTCCTAGGACTTCCATCTGTGATCTGCTTTTGAGTGGAAGATGTGGAAGGTTTTGTGTTGCTCTAAATGAGGAGGAGAGGAAGGAAACATGTATGCCTTATAGATGATAAAGAAAATCTTTATTTTGAGTGCCCAGGATAGTTGTGCATTTCAACAGAAGCATACATGGGACGCGCTTCTCAAATTGCAATTAACATAAAGTAAACCCACCTGTTTTTTCTTGTGTCTAGTTCTACAAAACAGCGGTAACCATTGCTGCTTTAACGGACTTACAGCTGAACTTTTCAAATTTTTGTTGGATTGAATGTAGACTTGGCAGTGTTAGGTGGAAAAGAACAAGTGGAGTCTTACAGAAGAACCATAGGAATCACTTCTCATTTCTTTCAGTTGAAGCTTATTATTTAAAAAATTCAATCATATTTCCTTTTACATGTGGTTTTTAGAATATTTTACTGCAGTTTGTAGCAGTCCTTTGAAAATATTTGTTCTTCTAAGTGTGTCTCCATAAACTGTGTGAGGGAAGTTGACAAGCAGAGCCAATTGGAAAGTAAGGTTTTTTCCTCAAGAAATTTCCTTCTATCACCTTTGGTTTTTTTTCCTGTAGGCTGTGCTGTTTTGGAGACTTAAAAGGGAATTTTCAGTAAAAAAAATTCCATAATGTATAGGCATGAGGTTCCTCCCATCTCTTCTTAACAAGTTTACTAGAATTTAACCACACTACTTCTTACAGAACTGTGGCCATGCATGATGTTTCCAGCTGAGGTTTTGTAGGGTTAATTTATCCTCAACTATATGCAGAGTATTTGATCCTTGCAAAGTTGTCAAAATAATGTAGTGTGTATAGGGTATTGGTGAGTGGCTCTTTTATAACAGGCAAGAGAGTAATTCCCTCTGGAGTGCATTGGCTTATTTTAGAATTTCTTTAGAATTTCTGTTTATTTTATGGAGCAGCTCATTATTAAAAATTCAGATCACTTTTCCTAATAATTGAATCTCACTATTGCTTATAATCTGACTTTTATGGTATGAAAAGCTGTTCCTATTCATAAATTAAAATACAGGAAACTAGCAGTAGAAAAACTACTAATACTAGGAAGTTGTTCCTATGGTCTTGCAGATGACTATGGACAGAAAGCGTTCTCTATTTCCTCAACCAATGCTTAACCGCTCAGTCCAATTTTTAATCTAATTGCCTTCTTCATTTATTGTATCTGTTCAGAAATAGGACTGTGGTATTCCTGCTTCAGCCTGAGGATCTTTTGAGTATCTTGTTCCTTGCTATTATTTAGTTATTTCTGAATTAATAAACTTTTCCTTCCATTCCTGCGGAAAAAGTCTTTTTCAATACTTCTGCCATAAAGGGGTGACGAGCACGTTATTATTTTCCCCTCATATCTAAGCCTTTTGGGATTTTTTTTGTTGCTTAGATTAATCTTTTTCAGTTTTGCAGATCCAGAGAGTATGCCTCAAAATGTTGTACCTGTCCTATACAGTACCTGTGGGATACTACACGCTGCATTATATACTTAACAGTAAAGAATGAGTATTTAACAGGACAATCATAAATATAGTTACAGACAGATAAATGACAGTCCTCCAGTCTTGGGATGTCTTAATTCAGTGAATTTCCTTGTGCTTGTGTGTTCTGTAGTACTTTACTAACACGATTGGGCAACTCTGAAAAAAAGCAGAAACTTAAATGAAATCCAAATTAAATTGAAATAATTTTGTGTACTTGTAATAATGTGAGTTCTGCATTGTGAAAGTGAAAGACTGTGTTTGAGTAAGAGATGTAAACATGTCTTGGTGTATGCATATAACTGTGTTAAAGGGGATATATTTTTTTTCCCTGAAAAGAAGGTGGAGAACTTAGAAAGTCTGTTACCTAGGCTATACTAATTCAAAACGAGTAAATGTTTTTTTCCCCCAAACTTTGCTGCTTGATATGTTGTTGTATTGATTGAGATGAGACTGATCATTTAAGTCTAGGTCAGCATAATATGAGGAAGAGATTTTATTCATATGTTACCTTCTGTTTCAAATGTCTTCTTTTGTCTTCTGATTCTTGTGTGGTGTAGTGTATTTACTCCTTTTTGGCCAGTTGAGCCCCAGAAAAAAGAAGAGCTTCAAGCAAGTAACTGATGGCATGTTTATTTTTTTGTCTCTATAGCTTCCCTACGTATTTTATGTTTTATGAAGTGTGTACTGCAGCTGTGCCACATTCATTTAGAAAACTCATTATTACAAGCTGGCTTATAAGGACAAGTAAACTTTTTTTTTTTTTTTACTGTAAGCTTAAAGTTTATTCTTATGTGCAACTTTATTCATGTGATTGTAGAGGCTTATGGAAGTGCTAAGCTGCAATCAATTCTGTGTAATTGATATTACACAGAATCAAGCTAAACTCTAATATACAATCAATCATACCTTTGATTTTTCTATTGATACTTAACATCTTCAAAGAAAAAAAATTACTTTGTTTTAGATTCGTGCCCTAATTCTTAAATGTTTTTAATTCTGAAGTATACTACTTTGACTTCTGACATCTTTGTTTTTAAACTCTGTAGTTTCAGTTATAACTTCTTTTGGTTTACTTTTAATCGGTATTTCATAGTTGTTGGACTTTTCTCCTAATTTGAAACGGTTTTAAATTGTTCTTACATTTAAATATTCTTGCATTTAATACTAAAATTATTAACTTTTTTTTTCAAATATGAAATAGTTTAGGTTTTTATTAATATGGGTGGGGTTCTTATAAGATTTGCTAACTATCAAAACTAAATTTTCTTCTGATCTGTTAATCCTTGAAAAGTCTGCTAAAGCTTGTGATTTAAGATATTGGAATTGCTTTTTGTTTCTTTACAAATCCTTTGATTCTGTGCTGTGCTTCATAGTGGCATAGCATAGCGTAGGACAGGTAGAGGATAGGGAGCTAATGTCAGTTTGAGATGCTTTAAGCTCTCCTGCTGTTGAAAGACTGTAGGGCCTAAGAAAGCTTTTGAAATAGTTGTTGCTATGTAGGTAACATTTTGTGGACTTGGTAATGGTTTAGCTATACTTTCTGTAGGAAATCGGAGGCTTCGTTTATCCTCTCCCCTGGGCTCTGTTCACCATGCTTATGCTAAAGAACTCCCTCCTATGTGAAACAGAGTATTTTAGCACCCTTTTATTCTACTCTGTCCTATTTACCTTATGTTTCTCACCTGCCACTTCAGCATATAACTTAGTTTTTAATAAAAGGCTTTAAAACAAGTATTATCAGAATTACTACTAAATTTTGCATAAGGTGCTATCTGTCTTTACTTTTGTTTTAAATATTTTCACCAGGTATAAATTGTATAATTGACTAACAGAATTTCTGTAAATTCTTTCATAGTAAACATGACAAAATACATTGTTCTCTGCAAACCAGTTAATATTGCTATGTTATGTAAACCAGCAGAAATTAGGAAATTAGATTACACTTTGAAAAATAGTGTTTAAACTTAAACTTTGCATTATCCAAAGTAAATTTGTGTCTGTGTATTTTTGTCAAATACCTAGTAAGACCCAAGTACTGTGATGGTTCTTTCTGAAGCCATTGCAATCTGTTTAGTAACAAGTATAAGGAATACCATGCAAATGCACATGAATACAATTTACAGAAAAGAAAATGGAATGTGAACACATTTGCTTAATTCATAGCCCTGAAAATTAAATTTTTTGGCACCTAAGTGGAGATTAACTACCTAATTTACAGTGGAAAAGCAGAATTTCACAGTATTTTAATTTTTTAAGTTGTGTGAAGGTGCAAATTGTAACCTGCAGGTGCAGATTGGTTGATAGAATAATAGCATTTTGTCTTTACCTCAGGAAAAGAATGGTGTGGAATGGGTGCTAGGAGTGTTGTCCTAAGTTCAAAAACTGATGTGTCTTTCCTTGTTCCCATGAGCAGTTGCTTACAGAGCTGCTGCAGGTAGGCAGTGTTTAAAGGAGGTCCTGAAAGTGGTGTCCAGCTGTTATCACTGGAACTCGGCCCCACTGATGAAAGAAAGCTTTCAACAGATAAATTTATATGAATCTGTGTGACTTTTTCCTGAAAAAGGCTATCTTTACTAATGTTTGAGGCCGACACCCTTCAGGCAGATTTTAAAAATAGAAGTGTTATGTAGATTTGTATGAGTACTATGAATGGATTGTGATTCTCCAAACTATATCTGTAGCTCATTGTGCACAAGAGACATTAATATTTAAAAATTCTATGTAGATTATTTAAGATAATTCAAACAAGAATTTCAAAGTGAATTTAAACATACATTAGATTTCCACATATGTCTCCAGACATTACCTATCTATACAGACGAAAAGTTCTTTTGCGCAGGATCTGCCTTCTTGTAATACCTTGTATAGCTTCAAGTCAGCTAACAGCATCTAAAAACTCAATAAAATACCAACTTCTTTGTTGATCTGTATATTTAACTGAAGCATATCAGTTAACTACTGATGAAGGTATAACTTCAGTGACATTACACTCATTTGTGCCAGGAATAGAGTTCTAGCAAAACTCATTTGGAAATGAAATCAAACATATGGTGATAAATAAGTTCTAGCACTGCAGATTGATGACTGATGCTCATTTGAAGAAGTACATTTATACTGATGGTAAAGTTTCAGGTAGTGTAATGACATGCCAGTGTAATAGGAAATACTTGAAATGACTTGTGAAATTGCCAAGTGATGAAGGTACGGATCTAATACATGCTGTAGATAGTATTTAATATACATGTATCTATTTATCTTGAATCATAACAAAGTAAATGCTCTCTGTTAGTCTACAATAAAAATTTTCTGTTCCCTTCTGCACTCATGAAATCTGTAAATATTTCATCCAAAATAACATTGTGCTTTTTCAAAATGATAAAATATATATAGCTTGATGAAAACTAAAATACACTCTTGTTTTATGGTGAGACCTTAAAATAAATATCCAAAGTGCACAATTTCTATTGTAGCAGATCTTTTCTTTCCTCTTTTGTCATTTAGCTGCAAAGCATTTTTATTCAGTGTTCTAGCTTAAAGCTGAGCAGTTTGAGTGGCTTCTACCTTTTTGTTTTCTCACTTGGCAGCGTGTTGCAATACCGCTTAACGTACTTAAAGGAAATAACAGCCTTTCCTTTAGGGAAATTGCTGTAAATTTGAATCAAGTGTTTTGCTCTAAGTTGCTTAATGCATGGTATAATTAACATGAATATTCATTTTCCACCTGTATGAATAGCAGCAGCTCAGTCTTTACCTACTGTCAAAATGTGTTACCTAGTGAACTGGAATTTATGAGACTTTATTATGTATATCTTTAGGAGCAATACACAGTCAAGTGGAACCTTTAAGTGACTCATGGGCTCGACTAAAACACAGCAGAGATTGGTTATACACTTCCTCCTACTCATTTGTTGAGTCCAATTTTGATCTCTCAAGATCCCTTGGAGTCCATACTTTGATTGAAAATGTTGTCAGCTTTGTAAGTGGAGATGTGGGCAACTCGCCAGGATTTAAGGAACCAGAGGAAAGTATGTCCACCAGTCCGCAAGCATCAATAATTGCAATGGAACAGCAGCAGTTGAGGGCTGAAGTAAGTCTCAGTTTAACACTTTTTCTTAGTTTTCATGTTATGCACATTTTATTTTTTTTTTTTAAATACATCTTCCAAATTCTGTCTATTAAGGACATTTTTCCTCTCTTTTCTGTTAAAATATCTTAACTGAAACTGGGAACTTTATGTAAATAAACTCTAAAACAAAACTTTTTTAAAATTCCCTTTTTTAAAAAAAAAGAAAGTGTTGTTAAGAAAACAGCTACTTCATTCTCACAGCTGAAGATGATCTAATTCTAATTTCTAAGGATACTGGCTACTTAGTTAATATTGTCTTTTGCCTGCCTTTATTTTTAGCTTCGTCTGGAAGCACTTCATCAGATTTTAGTGCTTCTATCAGGGATGGAGGAAAAAGGCAGTGTGCCATTAATGGGAGGTCGTCAAGTACCAGGATTTCAGTCATCTTCATTGCTTACTTCTGTTAGACTACAATTTCTTGCTGGCTGCTTTGGTTTGGGTACTGTAGGACATGCAGGCACCAAAGGAGAGAGTGTAAGATTGCATCACTACCAGGTATGTACTTTAGTAGTTTCTGCTGTTTCAATAACTGGGTGATAAAAATATATCAGTCCTTACAATACTTATTTGTTTGACCCAGGATGGTATCAGAGCAGCTAAAAGAAGTATCCAAATTGAAATCCAAGTGGCTGTGCACAAAATTTACCAGCAATTATCTGCTACACTAGAAAGAGCTCTGCAAGCTAATAAGCATCACATAGGTAAGTGAAAACCAGATTTGCAAAATACACAGTATACAACAGCTTATATGTTTAACAAAGCAGACTTTGATATTAGTGACCAGAATTCACTGAAGTGCCTGACTTCTTTTCCTGAGACAGAGAAGCTTTTTAACCTTTTTCTGTCTTAATTTTCATCAAGCTTTAACCCTTTTTATTTTAAGAATTTTAAGTATTGTCAACCTTTCTATTCCACATACCACAGTCTTCCACAGTCATCCCTGTCTTTGGATCTTTAAAGTGATTTTTAGGTTTTAAGGGATAAACAGGTTTCTGAAGAGATTAAAAGTCTCCAATCTTTTTTTTCTTTCGTTCAAGTGAACTTTCTTTAAACCCAAAGCCAAAGATCAGGGCATCTTGCCTGTTTTAGAAGCCCTTTTCCCTGGCCTTCTGTACCCAGATACTGCTGTGCGCTTCTGTCCTTAAGGGATAGCTGGAACTCTGCACCTCTTTATGCCTATGTACATGCACTGACTGAGAGCTTCAGCACAGAAGCGAATTATATAGTTTAATTTGCTGGTAGAGTCTAATGGGCATTCTTACCTGAATTGTTTTGTTGTTTCACTTACAATTAAGATGGAATTGAAAGACATTTCTTGAGAACCAACTTGAAGTACAAGTAGAAAATTAAGTATTTCACTCAGTTGCCCTTACCTTAGAGGGAAGATTCTGGTTTGAGATTTAGCCTCAGAACATCTACATCACAAACTAGATCTACATGATACTCTTCCTTGGACAACCTTGACATAGAGGTTGCATTGAGTTAAAGGGGGCTATGATGGTACATCAGAAAGACTGCCTCAAAGTGTCTGACAAAGAAGGATAACTCTTGTTAATTTAATTAATTAAATTTTATTTAAAAAATAATCTGCTCTTGTTCAGTCTTAGTATTCTTATTCTAAACAAGTTATTAATTAAAACCAACTTTGTTTTAATCTTAGAAGCACAACAGCGTCTTCTGTTGGTAACAGTCTTTGCTCTAAGTGTACACTATCAGCCTGTTGATGTCTCCTTGGCCATTTCCACGGGTCTGCTAAATGTGCTATCACAGTTGTGTGGCACAGACACCATGTTAGGACAACCACTGCAGTTGCTGCCCAAAACTGGTATTTCCCAGCTCAGCACAGCTTTGAAAGTAGCCAGTACAAGACTACTTCAGATCCTCGCTATCACCACAGGGTAAGTATGGAATGCTCACTTGCTTTCAGAAAACTTAATCGTTAAGCCTTTCAGCACCCTTTCAGCACTTTTCTTTCGTGTGAGCTTTCTTTAGGACAATAAATGTTGTTCAGAAGCGTATAAGTGAAGTGGGGGAAAGAAGAGTAGTCACATTATTCATAAGAAAGATGCACGTAAGACTGATAAATATTTTTAAATTATGAGGAGTTTCAACCAGAGTAGGTAGAAGTTTATGGTCTGTAAACATTGCATTCTAGTATTCTTGTTTGGCTTTGTATCTAGATCCATTCAGTTGATATGATGAGGCTTTCTGTTGGTGTGTTGAAGTCATTTGTGTAAAAGTGATACCAATAATGTGGTAGGAGTTCTTCAGAGCAGTACATTGTGCTTTTTTTTTTGGAATATAAAGTAATTTTCTGAGGAATACTGGCTTCTGCTAGACCAGGGAACAGCATCCAAAATCCTATCAACACTTAAATATTTAGTCTAACTTGGTAAACGAAAAAGCAGTGGAGAAAGTATTTACTGTTTAGAGCAAGAATATTATTTAATATTCAGTACATGCATCTTTGTTTCAGTGTTCATACAACACATTGCATTTACCTGCTGAATTAGTTATGTAAAAAAAACCCCAATAATTTCTCACCAACTACTCCTCCCCCCCAACCAACCCACAAAAGCAACAACTCACATTTGGAATTTGCAGTGATATTATGTTTAACTGACTACATTGTTCTTTTTCTTTGAGAAAGTACTGGAAACATATCCTTTGATTCCAAAGATTGGACAGTTTTAAAGTTTCATAGAACACAGGGTTCAAATAAAAGTGGTCTGCCATGCATGTGATAGGAGATGAGGAAAAGTAACCTGCTACGATAGAATGAATTAGAATTAGTGTGGTGTTAGGCCCAGTTGTCATTTGCACTTAGTTCACAGTTGTGTCTTTATGTTACTGTTCCTCAGATCAGCTCTCAAGTAATCTCACGTTTACTTTTTTTTGTGTGTGTATAGAACCTATGCTGACAAACTGAGCCCAAAGGTGGTCCAGTCTTTGCTGGATTTATTATGCAGTCAGCTGAAGAATTTGCTATCACAAGCTGGTGTGATGCTTATGGCTTCCTTTGGAGAAGGGGAAGGTGAGGAAGATGAAGCAGAATCAAAAAAGGCAGATTCAAATGGGGATAATGAGAAGAGAGACTTCAGAGGTAATTACCTTGCATAATTTGTTACAATTTTGAAATACCAGAAGACACAATAAAAGAAACCACTGAATGCTGAGGCTCTCACCCACTCTACTGTATTTATTGATTATTGTGGGGTCATTCTTAACTCTGTAAATTAGATTAAATAAAGTCATAAAATAATTTTGTGCTCAGTTCCGTTTTATATTGACCTGATATATAAATCGATTTAAAGGTAGGAGCAGGTTGAGAATTAAGAATTACTCCATCTGGTTTGGAATTAGGAGAATACTATTTTTCTCAAAAAATGAGCTATTGATAGGAGGTTTTTTTCATAAATGCGGTCATAGGAATTTAATTATCTAAGTTGCAAACTACAAATAATTCAAGAAATTGTTCCGTTTGCTTTGTATTACGCAGTTTTGCAGTCTGAGTGGATGGGAAGGGGTTGACCCTACCCTGTCATATTAAAAAATCTGCAACAAAATGTTTTCTGAAATATTAGTATCTTCACATAGTTTGCAGTCCCTTAATGAGCATTTTGAATTTCTATGGAAATTGTGTGAAGAAATTTTTAATTGTAGCTTGGTTTTAGGTGTACATATGTTTTTGCTTGTGCTTATAACTGTCATTGCTTATAAATAATGGAATAGCTGATGAAGTCATAAGATAATTAATTAGAAATTAGGATATAAGGCCTTCTCTTTCCACAAACATTTTCTTGTTAAAACTGACTTGGAATAAGAATCAGGGGTGGAATGAAGTATAGTGGTTTGTATCAAAGATCATCATAAACCAAAAACATACTTAGAAACCAATGGTTACATTTTATATTACAAGGACATTTATAAATAATCATGTGTACTGGATTTACATGGCAAAGTTTTGGTAGTGGTAGAGGGCTGCAGGGGTGGCTTCTGTGAGAAGAAATCAGGAGCTTGCCCCCATGTCAGACAGAACCAGTTTCGGCTAGCTCCAAAACAGACCCACCACTGCCCAAAACTGAGCCAGTCAGCAATGCTGGTGGTGCTTCTGTGATAACGTATTTAAGAAAGAGTAAAAAATGCTGAACAACAGCTGTGTGAGATAGGAGTGGGAAAAATGTGAGAGAAACAACTTCGCAGACACCAAGATCAGTGAAGAAGGAAGGGGACAGAGAAGAGGTACTTCAGGTGATGAAGTAGGGATTCCTCTGCAGCTGGTGGAGAGGTGGAGAAGACCACGGTGAAGCAGGTTGTCTATCTGCAGCCCATGGAGGACCCCTGCCAGAGCAGGTGGATATACCTTGAAGGAAGCTGCAACCTGTGGAGAGCCCATGCAGAGGCGCAATTCTGGCAGGAAGTGGCGTGTGGGGGACACACCCTGAAGCACTCCATTCCTGAAGGACTGTTTCCTGTGGAAAAGGATCCACAGTGGAGCAGTTCTTGAAAAACTGCAGCCCGTGGGAGGGACCCATTTATGGAGCTGGAGTAGTAGAGACAAAGTGTTATGAAGCGAGCACAACCCACCCCCTCACATTCCCAGTACCCCTGCTTCACTCAGGAGTGGAGAGGTAGAAGAGTTAAGAATGAAGTTGAGCCTGGGAAGAAAGGAGGGAAGAGGGGAAGGTGTTTTAATTTTGTCTTTGTTTCTCACCATCCTGCTCTATTTTTCACTGGCCATAAATTAAAGTAATCTTTCCCAAGCTGAGTCTGTTTTGCCCATGATGGTAATTGGTGAGTGATCTCACTGCTTTTATCATGAACCACAAGCTTTTCCTCTTATTTTCTCCCCTGCCTTGCTGAGGAGTAGAAGTGAAAGAGCAGCTTGGTGGGCACCTATCAGCCAGCAGAGGTTAACAGCCAGCCATCATGTAATACCTGATCATTGTATTTTTACTTACAGAACAATTTGTTGTGAGTAACAGTGACTGCTGATACTTTGTCACCTTCCATTCAAGTCTATGATAGGCTTCAAATGGTTACTTCTCTCTCTGAGTTGCTTGACTATATTTTGTAGTAAATACATAGAGCTTGCAAATACTGAAGTGTGGTTCTGTAGCCACACTTTTGATAAGATATATGCAGTCATTTCCTGTACAGGTGTTTATAAATCTTAGCATACCAAAGTACCTGTGGTCCATAATGCGCTGTGTGTTATTTGAGTAGCTGTGTTTTTCCAAGTGCATGCTAGTCTGCGTAGTGTAGCCTAGCAATGTCAAGTGGTTGTATTCTGCTCTGGACTCACTACTCTCAAAAATGGAAACATCCAAAATTCAGCTGTGAATGTCTGCCTTTTTTTTTCTACTTTGACCTTGACTTTAAAAATTGTTATTTGCCAATACTGTAGAAATAAGGTTGTAAGTTAAAACTTCTAATTTAACTTCCTAGCTGCCCTCCGAAAGCAACATGCAGCGGAATTACACTTGGGAGACTTTCTTGTTTTCCTACGTAGAGTTGTGTCTTCAAAAGCAATTCAGTCAAAAATGGCATCTCCAAAGTGGACAGAAGTACTTCTTAACATTGCTTCTCAGAAGTGTTGCTCAGGTATGATCTTTTCAAAATGTACTCAATGGTTACTTGCATTTCTGTAGTGCAGTTCCTAAAAATAGGTCCTGTTACATAGCGAACAACTAAAACTAACTTCAGTAGAAGCACACGTTACATTGTGGAAAATTGTGCACTGGTGGCCTGTAGCTGGCATCATAGGTGCATGCCTGATGCAGAAGTCGCTTTCAGATTATTAACATATTGTTCCATCTTTAGGAGTTCCCTTGGTTGGCAATTTGAGGACTAGACTTCTTGCACTTCATGTACTAGAAGCTGTATTACCTGCTTGTGAATCTGGCGTTGAGGATGATCAAATGGCTCAGGTCTTTATATTTTGTTACAAGCTTTTACATCTGTTTCTTCAGAAAGCCTCATTAAACTTTTCAATGTTTCATAGGTTTGTTCAGAATCCGAATCAGGTGGGGCTTGGTGTAGATAGTTGCTTATCTAAGAGCACTAAATATTTTGATATTTATACCTACAAAGCAAAGTAAAACAATATAATATTATTTGTTGTCCTCATCTTGGATTTAAAATTATCTGAATTATATTCTAATACACCAGGTTGTTGAACGATTATTCTCACTTCTGTCTGACTGCATGTGGGAGACTCCAATAGCTCAGGCTAAACACGCAATTCAAATAAAGGAGAAAGAACAAGAAATGAAGCTACAGGTAATGATGCTTTTACTTTCTCTTTTGACTGAATGCAGGTGAGTTAGATCTACCACAGGTATTTTGTCCTATTTCTGATAGAAGCAAGGAGAGTCTGAAGATGAAGATGAGAATCTTCCCATACAGGAAGTGTCCTTTGACCCTGAGAAAGCTCAATGCTGCATAGTGGAGAATGGGCAGATGTTAACTCATGGAAGTGGAGGTAAAGGATATGGTTTAGCATCCACTGGAGTTACTTCTGGGTGTTACCAGTGGAAGGTAGGTTGCATAAAGTGTATTTCTTAACTTCTCTTACTTTGTTTTGGAAACATACTATAAACAACAGCTCCCTGTGTTTTTTTCCTTAGGATAACATTCTTGAGTAAATGACATTTTGGCAGTGTTAGGTTTATGGTTGGGCTCGATGATCTTAAGGGCTTTTTCCAACGCAAATGATTCTGTGGTTCTTTGATTTTCAATCTGAAGTGAAGAGTTTGTGGCTGCTTTTGAGCACTGCTATGTAGGTATTTCAGTACACAGATTGGAGACTGTGGATATGTGTTGCGTATGTATTTGTAGAGGTGATAGTACTTGTCCCTAAGATCCATAGGCAGCATAAATGTGCATTGTCTTGCAAAGGTTACCTACTGAACTATGTAGATTTTGATTTTTTTTTTTTTTTCTGTAGAAAAACACTTCACAAAACATTCTGTTTTCTTGCCAGAAGACACATCAGCCTGAGTGACAAGACCTGCTTTTAATAAATCTTCAGTTATTTCTTTAGAAATATAGATAGGCACACAGTTGTAGTCCTTGTTAGCACCATCTCAAGCATAACGCTTCTTTTTTCTACTTGAATCTGTGTAAATTGCTCACTGTGAACATGAGGAGTAAAGTTTATTTATTTCTGTAATATTTTTAGCACTTGTAACCCAGCTTCTGGGTGTATACGTTTTAAGTCTGGGAAAAAAACAACTTCTTTGTGTATTTATGTACAGTTTTCTTAATTACTAGTAGGTTAAGTTTAAATGACTGGTTACTGACTGACCTTATATACCAAGGTGTCATTTTAGAGGTAGAGTGTGATTTTAGCTTATTAGCTTATTATTTTTTGCTTTATTGAGAACTTCTGAGCAAACCAGTTGAAAGTACGCATAAATATGTGTAAGCTAAATTTTCATTGCTTTATTGTATTCAAATGTATATTCTTGACTTTTTTCCCCTGTTTTTTTGTTTTGTTTTGCCTCCTAGTTCTACATTGTGAAGGAGAATCGAGGCAATGAAGGCACGTGTGTAGGAGTTTCTCGCTGGCCAGTACATGATTTTAACCATCGCACTACCTCAGATATGTGGCTATATAGAGCCTATAGTGGTAACCTTTATCACAACGGAGAACAAACTTTAACTCTGTCCAGCTTTACCCAAGGAGATTTCATCACATGTGTATTAGATATGGAAGCAAGAACTATTTCCTTTGGTAAAAATGGAGAGGTATTTAACATTAAGTGTTTTTTGGTGGGTTTTGCAACAGTACTTTGACATGGATATTTTATATAAAGCTAGGCATGACAGTTAAGACACATGACAGTTTCAGTACTTGCAGGGATTATAATACAGATATAACTTTGTCACGTTTCATATTTTTGCTTCTTAAGTTGTTCTAAGTTTGGGGTTTTTTGTTTTGTTTTTTAACTAGGAGCCAAAACTAGCTTTTGAAGATGTGGATGCAGCAGAGTTATACCCTTGTGTTATGTTCTATAGCAGTAATCCAGGAGAAAAGGTAACTTAAATGTTCATGTGCGTAGGTGTGCTGGTTTTGGATGGGATAAAGTCAGTATTCTTCGTAACAGCCCGTATTGTGCTATGTTTTGGATTTATGACCAAAACAGTGTTGATAATGCCCAGTGTTTTAGCTATTGCTGAACAGTGTTTACACAGCATCAAGGCTTTCTCGGTTTATCCCTCTCCCTTCCAGCAAGTATGTTGGGGGTAGGCAACAGGCTGTGAGGGATTGCCGCCAGTCAGCTCACTTAAAGTGACCAGAGGGATATTCTATACGATACAACATCATGTGCAGCAATAAAACTGCAGGGAAGTTTGCCAGGGGTTTCTGTTGCTCAGGGACTATTTGGGCGTCAGTCAGCTGGTGGTGAGCATTTTGCATCACTTATTTTTCTTTGTTTCGTTTCATTTCGGTTTTTTCCCCCCTCTCTTTTATTTATGAAACTTTCTTTATCTTTTCTCTCTTTTGCCTGTCTTATTCTCTTCCCCATCCTGCTGGGGGGAGTGATCAAGTGGCTGTGTGGGGCTTAGCTGCCTTGCCAGGGTTAACCCTTAACAATAGCTCATAAGTTTATCCTTTCCCTTCTGTTCTCTGTGTCAATGTTATGGATGTTGCTTTTAATGGGGGATGGGGGTGGTAGCTAACAAGTGCTAAGAGTGTCACTGAATATTCATTTTGGTTTAGGACATACATAGCACTATATTACTTGCGCACTAGCTAGACTTTTCATAAATTCCTATATTGTGCAATCTATTGTAAATTTCAAATGTATTTTATTATTTAGAATTGATTTAAAGGCTTAATGTTATACAAAAAGAATGCATTCCCTGGAAACCAGAGAGAGTGTAGTCTTATGTGAGAAACCATGAATTGCTGTAATTTCATCATCCTTCAGTTTGAAGAGATGCAGGCTTTGTTCAGTGTTAAGGTGGATTTCTTAGGGAGCCTAAGCAAAAAAAGACACTGCAAATAATTTTTTCTATTCAATATTGAGAAGATAACTTTTAATCTGTTCTCTTTAAATACTTAGGTTAAAATCTGTGATATGCAGATGCGTGGTACACCAAGGGATTTGCTACCAGGTGACCCTATCTGTAGTCCTGTCGCTGCAGTGCTGGCAGAAGCCACTATCCAACTCATTCGTATGCTTCACCGCACAGACCGTTGGACACACTGCATCAATAAAAAAATGATGGAAAGACTGAATAAAATCAAAACATGTCTTAAAGAAGCAGGCCAAAAGCTGAAGAAAAGTCGCTCAATTCAAAGTCGAGAAGAGAATGAGGTGAGAGAGGAGAAAGAAAATAAAGAGGAGGAGAAAAGCAAACACAGCAGGCATGGTCTGGCTGACCTTTCAGAACTGCAGTTGAAGATGCTTTGTGTGGAAGTGTGGCCTGTTCTAGCAGTAATTGGTGGAGTTGATGCTGGTCTTAGAGTTGGAGGTCGATGTGTACACAAGCAAACGGGACGTCATGCCACCTTGCTTGGAGTAGTGAAGGAAGGCAGTACATCTGCCAAGGTCCAATGGGATGAAGCAGAGATTACTATCAGGTATGCTCATTTCCTACACTTTTCACAGTCTAGTGGTGTTTTGTGCTTGGAAATCTTCAGGAGTAACATACATCTTACTTTAGAGTCATGCTAATCAATTATTTTACGCTTAGACTTGAAATTTGGCTTTTAAAAAAACCCAAATATTACAAGTTAGATTTTTATGCTGTCTAGTAAAAAAAAATGCCTTGTGTATCAAAAAATAAATTTGATAATTTTGAATTGATGATCGTCATTAGACTTCTTAGATTTGGCCTCTAGGTTTCAGAGTTGGAATGTGGCCAGCTTGCCAGTTTTCCTAGATTTGAAATGAGCACTGCTTGTTTTAGAATTGGTAGGTATTGGCTAAGTCAAACATTAATGTTGTCTTAATTGACTACAGCTTTTTGGTTATGTCTGTAAAGAACACAGATTTTTACTGAGTTAGTGCACGCTTTGTTGTGGCGAACCTGGTTCTGAAGAGAGACCTGATTCGGTTTGTCAGAGTTGAGAACAGGTGTCTTGCTGCATTATCATTCTCTTCTCAGTGGACTGGAAATTGCTCTGTGGGGCTTGAGGAATGGCTAAGGTCAGGAGATGGGAGGATTCTCTCTTCTTAATGGTGGTTTGGATGATGGTATCCAAATTAATGCTGCCTCACAGTAGTATTTGTTCATTCTCTGAGCTGCCTTGGAGAGCTAAAGGAATGCCCCTGTATTAGATGTGTGGAAATATAGGCTGGTGAATTTTTGTCCTGCTTAGAGTGAAAATTACTCAACTGTAACAGTCGTAATTATTACCAAAAAAAATAATCACTGACTATAGATAGACAGATAGGCAGATATATATTATGTGTGTCTGTTGGGTTTTCTGACCTGTGTTTTTAAAAAGACACTGTCCTCTCTAGGTAATCTGTCCTGACATAACCGGAGATAGAATTACCGTAAGCTCTTAGTAGTGTGCTCCTTGTGATGAATAGTTAAACAGGAATGTGTGGTCAATGAAAGCTTTTCCTTAACATGAAAAAAGTTTAGGAATGTTTTCTTTTCTAAGCTTGTATACCTATTCCCAAATTCAGCTCAGGTATGATGACAAAATTTGGCCTAAGGTAGTTTTTCTTAGTAGAAGTCTGTTACATATTTCTGAATAATATAGCAGAAACCTCTGTCAGCACAGAATCAATAGCTTCTATGATGCTTCTGGGTTTTAATGCTTGTTGAAAACCTGTGCATGCTTTGTTGCCTTTGCTCTGATACCATATCTCCCCATTTTCTGATCATAACCTCATTTTTCCCTGTTTCCATTTAATTTTTAGAATTAGTTTGGTTATTTTATGAAATATATTTTACATCTTACTTTGCCTACATTATTTCCTGTACTTTCCTCCTGTCTCTCCCTCACTTGCTTTTTCCTGTGTCATTCTGATCTTTATTAAAGCTTCCCAACTTTTTGGTCGCCTAGTGATACTCCACTGTATAATCTGGAGCCCTGCGAACCACTGCCTTTTGACGTTGCAAGATTTCGTGGGCTGACAGCTACTGTGTTGCTGGACCTTACCTATCTGACTGGTATTCATGAAGATATGGGAAAGCAAAGCACCAAGAGACATGAGAAAAAACACAGACATGAATCTGAAGATAAAGGGGAAATGGACCAGAAAACGGAGGGCGATGTTGGATCGGATGCACGATTAGGACAAAGTGCTGATGATAACAAAGTACACAGTGCTACAAGCTCTAAGTCAGAAAATGAAATTGCTTCCTTTTCTTTAGAACCATCAACGCTAGGTATGGAATCCCAACACCAACCTGCTGAAGGAAGAAAAAAGAATCATGAACATGCTCCAAGAAATCATGATATAGTGCAGTCAGAAATCAGAGCAGTACAGCTATCTTATCTTTATCTTGGTGCTATGAAGTCACTTAGTGTTCTTCTTAGTTGTAGTAAATACGCTGAACTACTGTTGATACCAAAAGTCCTGGCAGAAAATGGTCACAACTCTGACTGTGCCAGTTCTCCAGTTGTTCATGAAGATGTTGAAATGCGTGCTGCCTTGCAGTTCCTGATGCGACACATGGTGAAACGGGCAGTCATGCGTTCACCGATCAAAAGAGCTCTAGGACTGGCAGATTTGGAACGAGCACAAGCCATGATCTACAAATTAGTGGTTCATGGTCTGCTGGAGGATCAGTTTGGTGGCAGACTTAAACAAGGTACATTCTCAAAGTGCTAGAAGCATAGTGCTAATTTTTTTTTTTTTATTTCTCTAAAAATTAATGGTAATAATGACAATATGAATAACATAATCTTGTAATTTTGTAGTGGTTGTACTTTGGAAGAATCTCAGTTGGACAGAGGAATTATACAAAGATGCTTTACTCTTTTGTAGATATAATAGTGACTTTTTTGCCTTTTCCACAATTCCTTATTTTAATAAAAAGTTAATGCATATCCATCAATCAGAAATAGAAGTTTCTAATTTGTTTTTAATACTTTAAAAAAATAAACAGTTCTGTATATACTTGTCAGAAGGATTTGTATGTGACGTAAATATTATAAAGTTCACTGTTAGATGTGATTAGTATGCAGTCATGTTAACAGATGGTGTTGAGTGTGTCTATGTTCAGGGTGTAAGTAAACCTGTGTTTCTGTCTAAAATCTTTGGGTTTGGCTTTCTGAGGGTTTTTTTTCTGAGATATTTGGCATTGCACTAAGAGCAGCTGAAGAGAAAATGTATTGTTCATTTTCTTCTTAAAAATACATTTATTACAGTTTGCATCTTCAGGGAAACCATTTAAATCAGTTTAAACAAAGAAAAAACTATCTAAAATATTAAAGCTAATTACTGCACTATCTGGTTCTTTACTGTCTTAAGGACTTCTAAACCAACCGAAAAACCCCTTCAAAAATCTTTTGCTTTACACAGCTGAGTTAAAAATAGCTTTATAGTTAAACAGCTGTATTTCTGTATCTGAGACTTCTGTCCCTTTTGCCTAAGAGAGTAATAATAGCTGTTACAATCATAAATCTAACTCTTTAAATATCAGAAGATGTAACCAAGTAAATGACTTCTGTTACCATCTGGAAGGACTTGTTTACCATTTACCTTGTATTGGCATGACGACAGCAAGGGCTGATAGACTGATTTCTTTACGTAAGTTCATGAGTTATTGGCAGAAGTATTTGTATGGTGTGCATTTCTGCACACCCCTTTCTTTGGGGGGAATTTTAAATAATGGTAGTTATTTTGAAACTTTAGCCACAGCTATTGTTTTGCTCTACACAATTATATTAACATTCCTGTAACGTCCTTTTTTCTGTGGCAGAAGTAGATCAACAAGTAGAAGAAGGCGATCCATCTCAGCAAGCCCAAACACCAGTTACAACCAGCCCTTCTGCTTCTAGCACGACATCTTTCATGAGCAGCTCTCTGGAGGATACTACCACTGCTACTACTCCGGTAACTGATACTGAAACAGTTCCTGCCTCAGAATCACCTGGTGTTATGCCTCTCAGTCTTCTTAGGTAAAATATCTTTATTTTCAGCATAAATGATTTTGTGGGGATGGGGAACCGGTTGTATGATTTATATGCAATATACGTCTTTAGCTGTCTAAGCCTTTGAAAACTTAATGTTCGTCTTTACTGTAAAGAACTGCCTCTGCAGAGGACAGAGTTTAATTCATTGCTTTGCCTTGCAAGGCATGTGTTACTAGAAATAAAAAGCTGTTAAACTTTTAATATACACTGTGTATATATGTAACCTCTGAATTCTTCAAGATGAGAAAATACCTTCCTTATGTTGTCCTTCAGTTCTCATGTTTGTGTGGTATAGTTTAAATTAAAAATCTCTGAAATTCAGTACTTTTAACAAATAGTTGTTGATTCTCAAACTAGAGTAGATCTTAGTTTGTAGGTAACATCCTGCAAGCTAAGACCTTGTTTCATCCTACCCTTGCATACTGAAATGGAAGTAGAATAAAGCTAGTTAATCTGCAGAGGCTATTTGTGATGTATAAGGAAACCTGCTTTACATTGAATAGAGTCCTGTTCAAAGTATATTCATTCTGTTGATGTATCTGACATCTCTTCTTAGAGGTTTTGCAGATATAATTCGACAAAAGCCAGAACATGTCCTATTACCAGGACAGTGAAAGTAAAATACTCACCTAATTTATTAGTCAGGATGAATTCTGAACAAAGTGGGGAAATGGGAAGGGTGTTTACTTGTCTTTTATCTCCTAAGACAGCCCTGGGTTTATGAGGGGTTTTTTTAGGTGTATATGAATTTTAACTTTCCAGGCAAAGTTGGTAGGACGGAGCTGTTCCGACAGGATTTTTCTGCCCATCCCAATGTATGTATGGCGCCTTACCTTTACAAAACTCAGTTGCTCTAAAGTATGACTTGCCAACTGCACTCTAATTTGATGTTTTTCTCGTGTCAGACCTTTCTCAGCATAGCTTTTTTTAATATAAATGCATATTTTTCTTTTTTAAAGGCAAATGTTCTCCAGTTATCCTACTACAACTGTACTTCCAGCACGACGTGCTCAGACTCCCCCAATATCTTCTTTACCAACATCTCCTTCAGATGAAGTTGGAAGGAGACAAAGTTTGACTTCTCCTGATTCCCAGTCTGCAAGGCCTGCCAATCGTACAGGTAAACTTGTAGTCAGTAGAGATAGAAATGTGGACAGGTTAGTAAATTTGCAGGAGTTCATTATAGTTTTTTAAAACATTGAAAACTAACAGGGTTTCTTTTTAATGCAACCTAACATGAAAAGCATTGTTGAAAACCTTTTAATGACTATCTTAGAACAAAAAGCTGTAGATTGTCTAGCTGTAGACTTTATCAGGCAAATGAAATTAGTTTTTAAAAGCTGTGAATGGATTACAAACTACATGTGTAAAACGAGAATGCAATAGAATTGGTAATTACTTCATCACGGTAATCCCATTTGGGCTTGTTTCCTTGGTTGTGTGGCACTGCTTAGTGCTCTGATTTTCTAGCTTTTGTTAGATCATTACCATGCAGAAGACAAGAATTGGTGTATTTTAGGATACATACACGAGTGTAGCTCCTTCCACTTAGTCTTGTTTAATGAAACAGAAAGGGCTGTCCAGTCTTCATGGGCTCCTCATGCTGCTGTCTGGAATCATGTGAAGGTAATGGGAGGCTTCTGTTCATGGAAGTTTTATTATTGCCTGCACTGTACTACTCAAAACAGACACTTGCTCTGTTCCAGCATACAAACAGAATGGAATAGCTAGGAGGCTGAGCAAATTGTGTGAGAATCTTGACCTTCTAAAGAGCACAAATGAGTATTGTGATGCAAAAGAGATAATACTAAAAAAGAAAAATACAAGTGCATTTGTATGTGTTTTGTATTAAATGAATAGGAGAGACTTGAGAGTATATTCTCTATATGTATGTTTCATTTGTTGCATAGCAACTTGTCTGCTCAGTTTCACTTTTTTAAATGAGGTTACTTGCTTCTGGTCATGATATTGTCTTTACAAGAGAGTTTGTTAATACGTTGTTGATGCCTTTGTTGATCAGACCTCATTACTTTTATGGCAAATCATAAGGAAATTGTGGGTTTTGGGCATGAACTGACCTTTTTAGAGTCCCTTGAAAGACTCTTTACACAGAAATATAGCCATGATCTGCAAAGAGATTGAGGTAGAGGTTGAGATAAAGTCAGTTTAATAAAACAGCAGAGGAAAAGAATAACAGTAATGATGGTAAGAGAATATACAGAATATACAAAACAAGTGGTGCACAATGCAATTGCTCACCACCTGCTGACTGATGCCCAGCCCGTCCCTGAGCAACGATCGCTCTCCCCTGGCCAACTCCCCCCAAGCATGACGTCATATGGTATGGAATAGCCCTTTAGGCAGTTTGGGTCAGCTGTCCTGGCTGTGCCCCCTCCCAGCTTCTTATGCAGAGCATGGGAAGCTGAAAAGTCCTTGACTAGTGTAAGCGCTACTTGGCAACAACTAAAACATCAGTGTGTTATCAACATTCTTCTCATGCTAAATTGAAAACACAGCAGGATGCCAGCTACTAGGAAGAAAATTAACTCTATCCAAGCTGAAACAAGGACAAAAATGAGCGTGAATTGGTGTGATCTCATAACATTTGGGAATCTTGATTCAGACAAGGATAACTTTATCTAGTCTACTAAAGATAAATCAAATATATTCTTTGATACAGTTTTAAATGGAAATAAACTTCTTAGAAATATCTTCAGAGAAGTAGTTCTTTGAATATCATCAGTATCCTACTTCATTAAACAGAAGCTTACATAATATGCATGTTACCAAAAAGAATGAACGCTGGTTTCATTACAGAAAGTATTTTACTTTGTGGAAAGTAATAGGAAGTTGTTAAAGGCAATCATTCCCTTATTTGAAGCTAATATATCAAAGTCTAGTAAAGTAACAGTAACAGAAGATTTATGCACTTTACATTTAACATTTTCTGTCTTTTAAGCTTTGTCTGATCCAAGCAGCCGACTTTCAACATCCCCTCCTCCTCCTGCCATTGCTGTTCCATTGTTAGAAATGGGGTTCTCCCTCAGGCAAATTGCAAAAGCCATGGAAGCTACAGGTAATCTATAACTATAACATCAGTTTAAACTGAAAAATTATATAAATATGAAACACTTTTTTCCACTGGAATACTTAATTTTTAAGTTCTGTAACCATTTATGGGGGAAAAAAATATTTTTTTCACCACCAATGATACAGTACAATTCTAAAGTGTGATATTTTTTTTTTTTTTTTTTTTTTTTTTTTTTCCTTTTTTCAGGTGCTAGAGGAGAAGCAGATGCACAGAATATCACAGTGCTGGCCATGTGGATGATAGAGCACCCTGGAAATGAAGATGATGAAGATCCCCAGTCAGAAGGGACTGCAGATTCACGACATGGGACGATAGTCTCTGGAAGTGGTGGAAAATCTGCTGATCATTGTTATTTGCAGTCACCAGGTGATATCCCTTCTGCTGATGCCGCTGAAATGGAGGAAGGCTTTAGTGAAAGGTAAAATGTAGTTTTCTAATTGCTTTGTAATATGTTGCTGAAACTGAAAATCTCACAAGTTCATTGTTGCTGACAGAACATTACTTTGTAATGCCACTTTTGAATCTTGTTACAACGTGAGTAAAAGCAAAGATGCAATTAAGTGAAGTATACATGTTGCATTGATTTTCCAGTACTGTTTGTGCACAGAACTGGGGAAGACTGTAACTGATCATCCTTCCTTCAAAAAAAAAAAAAAAAAAAAAAAAAGGAACAAAAAAAATGAGTGCATATAGCTTACATTTTACCTAAAAGGAAAATTTCATTGGAATATTTTTTTTTCTTCAGTGTATTCACAAACAGGTATTTTTCTACATTTTTCTTTTTAAATGGTTTGTCCAGAGAGGATGACACTGAACTGAAGTTTACATTGTCAGTCACCTTCACAACCTTAGATGTAAACTATCTCTTAAACGAGGAAGAAAGGTGGTTGTTTTTCTTTTGTTACATTTTTAATCCTAAAAGTAGTGGTTGTATTTTCAAGTGACACTTATTAGGAATCATACCAGCTTTTTTGTTAATAAGGAGGGTGACAATTACAAGATGTATTTTGAGAACGCTTTGTTCAGATTCCTTGATCCTACTGAGATAAGCATTTTTAAGTTTCCTCCGTTACTTTGTCCCACGTAAACTGTCATTTCATGGACAACTTACAGATTTCAATCGGAAGAAATAAACTAATCAACAAGTGTTACTTAGTAACTTGAATTCATGTTTTGCAAAAGAGGGAATGACTGAGGCAGCAACAACAGAAATGTTGATTTTATTTCTTTTGAAAAGGAGAAGAAACCTAGTTTGATATGTAGTTAACATTGACAGCACAATATGAGAGCTCTCCCAAAATTTCTGCAATGCTTAGGCACTATGGAAGCATCAAATAGGCATTGATATTGCTGCATCTAATTTGTTTGAGGTAAATCTCACAGTCAAAAAGACAGTAAATATGTGCTGCAGTGGAACTGAAAATCCTTGAATTCCAAATTCCTTTTTTTCCTTCTGTGAAAGAAAGAAAAAAAAAAAAAAAGCCAATAAATGTGACTTAGTATTTTTCCTTACTTACTGTATGTTGCTGTTTAAAACTTGGTTTGATTTACCTGTAAATTACAAATTCTTGTAGCCCTGATAATATGGATCATGTGGATAATGCAGCTTCTGCAAGTGGACCTCCTTCTAGGAGTCGGTCAGCTGTGACGAGAAGACACAAATTTGATTTAGCTGCCCGAACATTGCTAGCACGTGCTGGTAAGTACACTGAAAGACTTCCAAGGTCTTTGCTTATCCAGTAAATGAAGAGGAGGGGGATTGGTATTTAGCACAAAATCTACAAAACTCTCCTTCACGTTTGTGTATTATTTATTATTATATATTTAACTTAAATGGTTTATGTGATAATAAGTAGATTATGTTTAGCTAAATAGTTAAAAACAAAGCAAAAGAAAGTTGGAAATACAGTCATCTGTATTACATGCAAAATAAAAGTACTACTTTCTTTCTTTTTTTTTTTTTTTTTTTTTTTTTTTTTTTTTTTTAATTTGAGCGGGATTATACCGCTCTGTGCAGGCCCACAGGAATCAGAGTCGAAGAGAAGGGATATCTTTGCAGCAAGATCCAGGGGCACTTTATGACTTCAACTTGGATGAAGAGTTGGAAATTGACCTTGATGATGAAGCAATGGAAGCTATGTTTGGGCAAGACCTGGCTAGTGATAATGATATTCTGGGAATGTGGATCCCAGAGGTATTGGATTGGCCTACCTGGGTGTGTGTGACTGCAGCGGGGGCTGCTTTAACTTACTGCTTTTTGCATGTTCATATTTTTAAATTTAAAGTAACATGCGTATGCTTATAGCCTGTTTGAAAATATCTTACTAAATGCAATGCTTAAAATCTTCTCGTATTCTGTAGTTTCACTTTTAGATTAAGAATAGTGCTTTCTTGTGTTTTCTTTCTTGCTCTGCCTTCTACATATACATAGTTTTTCTTCTCCCTCCCCTGAACAGAACTAGAACAGAACTAGCATAGTGGGTTTGTTATGATATCGCTTAGAAATCAAGGAAGTGTTCCAGATTGCTTAGCTGTGTGGGATAACACACACAGTGGTAAATGTTTGTTCTGTTTAAAGTAGTAGTAGTAGTAATAATATCACTTGATCTGTACCAACATAATTTGCATTTACATCAGATTTTTTAAGTTACTCATGTCATGTATTTCATTTTCTGGGAAGGTTATGGTGACAGTCCTTCCTCAGTTGTTGTGTAGCCCACTAAAAATACATTTGAGGTGGAAAAGAACTATAATAACAGCAGTTTGTTAATCTTTGGATTATCCATGTCAAATTAGACAAGCAACCCACAAGACTAAGCTTTCGTCTCCTAATTATGATGTTACCTGACTTCTGATATGGAAACCGGTTCCAGTATGCATACTGAATTTTTCAGGGAGCTTGTTTCATTAGAACATCACAATGAATTTACTGACTTAGGACAGAAACGTAATTATAGAAAAATGAACATTATATGAAAAATGAACATCAGACAAAACCTCAGAATTTATTGGCACAAATGATAATTATTGCTGCTCAGTAACCATAAAGTCTGATTGTTTGAAAAAAAAGGATTCTTTTTTCTTTGTTGGATCTAGTCTAGTGAAGGTCTGAGGAGAACCATATAACTTAGACAGCATTGAATGTGAACTAGCAGAGTTACATGTGAAAAGTTATACTGTTAAGAATTTTGAGTGAGATCTGAAATGAAGTAAGAAAATCTCATCCTCTGAAATGTTACTTCCAAATGTTTTTCCTGTTCTGACGTGGTCTGCTCTTTATTATTTCATAAATTGTCAATTTCTGCTCTGCTTTTCTGCAAGTTAACCATATAAATATCACTCAGGAGCATCCACCTAAGAACATTGGCTTATTTTATATCTAATATGAAGATACTTATTCTGTACAAATAACATGAAAACCTTGCTATGCAGCATGTTTGTGAATCTGAAGACAGAGAAGAAGTAGTGGTTTGTGAACTGTGTGAATCCAGTGTTGTCAGCTTCAATCAACACATGAAAAGAAACCACCCAGGCTGTGGCCGTAGTGCAAATCGCCAGGGCTATCGTAGCAATGGTTCTTATGTAGATGGATGGTTTGGTGGTGAATGTGGAAGTGGAAATCCTTACTATTTATTGTGCGGCATCTGCAGAGAGAAATACTTAGCCCTGAAGAGTAAATCTAAAACGTCAACTTCTGAAAGGTACAGAAGTACAAGGTGGTGGGATACTCTGTGTAAAGAAAGGCAACAACTTGAAAATGCTTGCTAACAACTTGAAAATGCTATCTGCATTTTAAGAATTTGAAGAAACTAAAATTCCTAGCAGAATTTGTCTTTAATTATTTCAACTGAGGCTTAAAATCATTCTCTCTATTCAACAAATGCATATTTAGAAAAAAGGTTGTCTTGATATTTCTATTTTTTAAATGAAAAAAAGGAATTATCTCTTGGGATATTGCCTTGTCTTGTTGACTTTTGAAAACTTCCTTTTTCCTTTTTCAATTTTGTCTGACCATTCCAGTATTTTTTTTTTTTTTATGGACCTTTCTCACATTAGTACTGCAAAATGCTTTCCCCCTCCAGAGACACTTTTAGAAGCTCTTTTATTTATCTCTCTGTTACTAGCCATTCCCAGAAATCTTATATAAATTGACCTAACAGTAAAGTAACTTAATAGTAAACCAAGTTTGAAATTACTATGCATATATGTAAATTATAAGATCCATTCAGTTATTTTCTTTGTTATTTTTTTCATGCAGGTACAAAGGCCAGGCTCCTGATTTAATAGGTAAACAAGACAGTGTCTATGAAGGTAAGTTTTTAAGTTGCTGAAGATATTAAATACTTTGCACTTGCACGGTGTTTTATTTTTCCATTAAGGTACTTCCATGTAAATAAGCCTGTCATGAAACTGTACATGGTGATATACTTTAAAATCTTCTTCAGACTAGATGTAGTATTTTCATTTTTTTTTCAGGTCAAATGGGAAAAAAAAACCCAGTGACGTTTTTTCCTGACTCTTTCATCTAAGTAGCTGGAATGGGAGATACTTTACTTTGGGTGATAAGCTCTTGTGGGTAAATGTTATATCAAGAACAGCACATACAGAGCCTTATGTTATGTTAGGGTAGTGGTCAATGGCTCGATGTCCGGATGGAGACCGGTGACGAGTGGTGTCCCTCAGGGGTCCGTACTGGGACCAGTGCTGTTTAATGTTTTCATCAATGACTTAGCGAGATTGAGCGCACCCTCCAGCAAGTTTGTGGATGACACCAAGCTGAGTGGTGCGGTTGACACACCAGAAGGACGGGATGTCATCCAGAGAGACCTGGACAGGCTGGAGAGGTGGGCCTGTGTGAACCTCATGAGGTTCAACAAGGCCAAGTGCAAGGTCCTGCACCTGGGTCGGCGTAACCCCCAGTATCAGTACAGGCTGGGGGAAGAAAGGATCGAGAGCAGCCCTGCTGAGAGGGACTTGGGGGTGCTGGTGGATGAAAAGCTGGACATGAGCCAGCAATGCGCGCTGGCGGCCCAGAAGGCCAACCGTATTCTGGGCTGCATCAAGAGAAGCGTGGCCAGCAGGTCGAGGGAGGGGATTCTGCCCCTCTACTCTGCTCTGGTGAGGCCTCACCTGGAGTACTGCGTCCAGCTCTGGAGCCCTCAACACAAGAAGGACATGGAA